GGCACTGCGTTTTATCTGTTGGGCAGGGTGTGCACATCGACTACGCTGATTCAGTAACAAATTGAGCAGCATGGTTGATTCGAACAAAACGTACCCGTTGGTGTAGGGCCCAGTTGCGCTTAACTGCCCGTGGATTTCCGTCCGGTTTTACCTCGGCGGGATGAGTATCTTGCAGAAGATCGCCGAAATCGAGGCCGAGGTTCGTTATAATTTCTTTTGTTATAAGGCTCTTTCCGTGAGCTAGTACGAGTAATGGGCGTTGGATCTTATGTCTATTTTGTTCCTTCAAGCTCAGGCTTATAAGCCAGTTCGACATGCGAATATAAACATACTTCTCGTTGTTTCCATGGCTGTAGGAAGTTATTTAACTTCAGATTTCGCTGCAGACTAAGCTAATGGTAACATGCGCACATTTATACTCGTGGTTCTCCCATACATATATTTGCCCCCTTGATCTTGCTGCCTTACTTTTAGACGAAAAAAGTCACAAAGATGTAAAACGAGTAAAGGACTAAGTTATTGTGCCCGATATAGTCACAATTGATGCGTTTGTCCATTTTTGGCACTTTTCCTTGCACTCAGGATGCGCAGCTATTAGCCATTTAACCGCTTCGCGTCCAGGGAATGTGATGCCTTCATTGTTGACTTAAATGCTAGTCTTTGTGCTGGTACCCTGTGTACAATTATTCTAGCTAAGTTGCGAAATCAAACTTAATATACTCAGTAAAATTCGCTGTCTTGTCAGGATCTGACAAGTAGAATTTACGAATTATGCTACAGTTGTATTTTCTAGACTCTCACTCCTGTTATCTGTTGATGCAGTGTTTTATTTAGTTCCTTTATTTCGATTTTGCCTCCGGTATTTTGGCAGGAGCATGTTTCTCGCTGGTATCCCATCTAGCATGATGCTTACTGTGGCCCAGTCACGTAAGCCAAGCCATAAGGCTGGCTTTTCAGAACAATGTTTCGAGTGGAGTACAGGATTTTTGATGTAAAGAACAGGAAGGCAAGGAACCTGGAACGTTTAGT